GGAGGAAGAGAAAGAGGAGGAGGAGGAGGAGGAGGAGGAGGAGGAGGAGGAGGAGGAGGAGGAGGAGGAGGAGGGAGGGGAGGAGGGAGGAGGAGGAGGAGGCGGAGGAGGAGGAGGAGGAGGAGGAGGAGAAGAGGGAGGAGGAGGAGGGGAGGAGGGGAGGAGGAGGGGGAGGAGGGGGAGGAGGAGGAGGAGGATGAGGAGGAGGAGGAGGAGGAGGAGGGGGAGGAGAGGGAGGAGGAGGAGGAAGAAGCAGGAAGGAGGAGGGAGGAGGAGGACAAGGATAAGGATACGTAAGGCCCCTGTGGGTCTGAGTTACTTCGCCTACTATAAAAAAGGAGGACCCCTGGGTGAAAATATGGACGCAGGCCCCCTTCACTACTGTTGGACCTGGGGGCGGCCTGGTGCGCGCGTCGGCAGCTGCCGGCGCGCCGGCAGACTTTCCGGCTCACGCCTGGCGCTCGGCGCCGGCCGGGCGACCGCGGCCGCAGAGGCGGGCCAGCGCCGCGGCGCAGCACGGCAGCAACGGCGAGCGGCCGCGCCGCGGAGCGGGCCCCGCAGGGGCGCCCGTGGCGCGGCCGCTCCCCCCGGGGCGGAGCGTGCCCCCCCAGCTGCTTCTCAGCATCGTTCAACCGACCCTATCCCCGTGGGCGTGGCCTGGGCCCCACTGGGGACATAGGCTGTTCCGCTCGGGTCTCGTGGGGTAGATCTTGTAAGCGGGAAATTCGCACTATCACTTTGAAGGAGCTAGCTGCTAATGGAAACAGGCCTTTTAGTAAAGTGCTGTTGCTCTGTTGCGCGACAACCGCGGCAGCGCGTCCGAATTGCCGAACCACGTCCTGCGCTCGCCCCCCCCCCCCGGCTGCTTCTCAGCATCGTTCAGCCGACCCTATCCTTATGTTGCTCCCACCGTACGTAAGGACCACATCCCAGAAAAATAAATAAGTGCGAGCACCCAGAAATAGAAAGGTATCGACACAGTGTCGAACGAGTATCGCCTCCCAGGGCCCCCCACACGTGAAGACCCTCTGGTTTCGGTACTCTCTTGGTGCTCGCAACTATTTCTGGTGATCAAGGCTAAAGTACGTCGGAACATCATAACCCTATCCCCATGGGCGTGGCCTGAGCCCCACTGGGGATATATAGGCTGTTCCGCTCGGGTCTCGTGGGGTAGATCCCCAACTGGGGTGCTGACGTGGTTGGAAAGACAAACACGGCACAAACAAAATCCGAATTCAGCTTTTGGAGGTCCGCGCGGGTCTCCTGGATCCGCGATGGACCCCCCCGCCCCTGGAGCGCGCCAGGGGCGGTGCCGGAGGCGCCGCACGGGGGGCGGCGCCGATCCAAGCAATCCGAGCGGAACGCCAACAGTTTACTTTGTTATTCGGTGGGGTCCTTCTTCGAGTACCCCCAGCTGGGGTGCTGAGATGGTGGGGATCTGGATGGGGCTAGGGATAGAGGGTCCGGGGGATGGGGATGGGGAGCTGGATGGGGATGGATGGGGTCCGGATGGATGGGGATCTGGATGAGGATGGACGGATAGTTCCCAGCCCTCCTGCGTCGGGTTTTCGGTTCGAGCAGAGCAGTGTCTGCTTCGGCTTCCCTCCTCCCCCCTCCCTCCTCTCTCCTCTTCCTCCTCCCTTCTCTCCTTCCTCCTCCTACTGTCGCCATTTTCGTGAGCTCCTGAGAGGTCCTCCAGCGGAATGGAGGCTCACGCAGATCTGCCGAGACTTCGCGGCTCCCTGCGGGATTGCGAACCGCGCAACTGTCGCCGTTGTCGTGGGCTCCTGGGAGGTCCAGCGGAAAGGAGGTCCGCGCGGATCTGCCGAGTCCTCGCGGCCCCCTGCGGGGCTGCGAACCGCGCAACTGTCGCCATTTTTGTGGGCTCCAGGGAGGTCCAGCGGAAAGGAAGTCCGCGCAGATCTGCCGAATCCTCGCGGCCCCCTGCGGGGCTGCAAACCGCGCAACTGTCGCCATTTTCGTGGGCTCCTGGGAAGTCCCGCGGAAAAGAAGTCCACGCAGATCTGCCGAGTCCTCGCGGCCCCCTGCGGGGCTGCGAACCGCGCAACGGTCGCCATTTTCGTGGGCTCCTGGGAGGTCCTGCAGAGTGGAGGTCCACGCCGTGCGATGCCAGCACCCCGTCGATGCCTGGCAAACTCAGGGCCGGCCGTCCCGACGAGAGCGTTAGCCATGGATCTCATCGAATTTCCAGGGTCTGAAGCCTCCGGCGCAACGATGGGGCAAACGGCCCAGGCGCATGGATGCTTCAGAGGGCGCACGAGCACGCGGCCCACAGGAGCGGGGCGCACGCCCCTCATGGGGCACGAAGCGAAGCCGGAAAATGCACGGGGAGTGGTCGTCCGAGCGGTGGCGAGCTTTGGGGGGCCACCCTCGTGAGAAGAAGAAAAAACGCTACAAACATAGACTTTTGGCGCTCCGCGCGGATTTCTTGGATCAGCGCCGGGACCCCCCTCCCTGGCGCGCGGAGCGCGCCAAGGGCGGCGCCGGAGGCGCCGCTGGGGGGGTCCGGGCGCGGGTCCAAGAGGTCCGCGCGGAGCGCCCAAAAGTTTACGATTATGGCGTTTTCTCTTCTTCGGATCGTCTTCCCGAAGATTGATGCTCCAGGATCAAAGCTCGAGGAGCTTCCGCGGAGCGTCTGGGGCGGCTCTGGGGGCCCCGTTTCCTCGGGGAGCTGGCGCGCTCCCTCGAGTGCAGGGCGCGCCGCGCCCGGCCACGACGCGCCGCGCCCCGCCCTCCCCCCAGGAGGAGGAGGAGGAAGAGAAGGAGGAGGAGGAGGAGGAGGAGGAGGAGGAGGAGGAGGAGGAGGAGGAGGAGGAGAAGGACGAGGAGGAGGAGGAGGAGGAGAAGGAGGAGGAGGAGGACGAGGAGGAGGGGGGAGGACAAGCTAAGTGCGCGCGCGTCATATCTGACGTCCTACCCCTCCCTCCCATCCCTTACCATGGCGCTGATTTTCTCTATCCGCGGACTAGTGGGTGGTGGTGCGCGTGCGTGCGTGCGTGCGTGTGTGCGTGGTGGTGCTGGTGGTGGTGGTGGTGGTGGTGGTGGTGGTGGTGGTGGTGGTGGTGGTGGTGGTGGTGGTGGTGGTGGGTGGTGGTGGTGGTGGTGGTGGTGGTGTGTGTGTGTGTGTGTGTGTGCGTGTGTGCGCGAGTGCTGTGGCATGGCACGGGAAATGACCCCAGCGCTGCAGCGGGAGCACGAGTCGAAACGGGCGGAAGCGCGGAAATGAGGCCAGCGCTGCAGCGGGAGCACGATTCGGAACGAGCGGAAGCACGGAAATGAGGCCAGCGCTGCAGCGGGAGCACGATTCGGAACGAGCGGGGCCCGAAAATGAGGCCAGCGCCTCGGCGAGAGCAGCATTTTGAAAAAATGCAGGCGAAAACCCAACTCCCGGGAATCCTGTGTAAAAAAGCAGGACGCGGGAGGGGTCGGCTACTTTCAGGCCGCCATCGGGGGAAGAGGGAGAGTAGTATTCATATTGAGTAATTGTGGAGGGGGAGGAGAAGGACCTCTCCGCCCCCCCCTCTTGTTTACACACGGCTCGACTGGGCGCACGGGTGATCCCTGCCGGGCCGCAGCCGCTCCGGCGGTGGTTGGGGGAGGCGTGCCAGCAGCGGCTTCCTGCAGGCAGCCCCCTGATGACTGGATCGGGGACGCCTTCATCCACACTTTCCCGCAGGGGCCACCACTATGTGCTGGGAGCCGACTGGGCCCCCTAACGCCTATACTTGCACCGATGTGTGTATATCTATATATATATACATATATGTATATATATATATATAAATATATATATATATATATATGTATGCACTCTCTCCTCCTCCCCTCCTCCTCCTCCTCCTCCTCCTCCTCCTTCCTTCCCCCTCCTCTTCGCATCCCTCCCCCCCTCGTCCAGACCTCTCGTGGAGTGTCCAGAAGTCCCTGGAAGCTTGTGTGAGGCACCTGAAAGGTGCCATGAGGCCTCCGGAGGATCAGAAAATCCACCGACCCTGTCGACGTGCGCGAGACGCTGTTCCGCTTGACTCGTCGTCGGTCGTCGGTCGTCGGTCGCCAGTCGTCGGTCGTCGTCGGTTTCGGTCGTCGTCGTTGCTATCGTCGTCGTCGTCGCTGTCGCCGCTCCCCTCCCTTTACCTGGGCCCGTCGCTGCTACCCCCTTTTCCCTGGGGCCCCCTCCTCAAGCGCGCCAGCCAAAGCGCAATGGCGCAACGGTGTGGTTGAGTCGAAAGGCAAGTCCCGTCCCTTCGATCCCTTCCCCAGTGGAGGGGTCCCCCAGAGGGTCCCGAGGGGGGGTCCCCAGGGAGGGGGCCCGAGGGCGGGTCCTGGGTCAAAGTACCATCCCCCCAAGGGTGCCTGGGACTCAGAAAGGCACCCCCAAGACGGCTCAAGAGTGCCCCAAGAGGTCCCAAGACGAACGACCTGTTCAAGACGCTGACGATGGCTTCCAGACGGCCCAAGAGGTCTCCAAAACGCTCGAAGAAGCCTCCATGAGTACCTCCAAGAGGGCCCCCAACACGCAACATTGAATTATCGTCTTTAGGTTTTTGCTCGATGTTGGTGTTCTCCCCTGCTCCCAGGATCGCCCCAAGAGACTTCTGAGAGGCTTCCAAAAAGGCCGCAAAACGACCGAAGAGGGCCCCAAGACGACCCACGAGGCCTCCAAGACAGCCCAAGGCCCCCAAGACGACTCCAAGAGGGTGCCGAGACGGGGGTCCCGAACTGACACTTCGAGCCTTCGGCACCGAGATGCTCCCAGGAGGCTCCAAGAGGCCCCCGAGAGGCCCCCAAGATAACACCAGTAAGCCCCCAAGAGGCCCTCAAGAAGCCCCAAGAGGGCCCCAAGAGGTCCCAGAAGGCCCCCAAGATGCTCCTAAGAGGCTCCTAAACTGCATCCCAAGGCCTACGAGAGCGCTCCGAAGAGACCCCAAGAAGCATCCCTGAGGACGCTCATCCACGTCATCGTCGTCGTCGCCGTCATCCCCCTGAAAGGTCGGCAGTAAGGCCTTCGCACTAGTCGATCGCAAACTGGTTGGGCCATGCCCGAAGAACCCTTTCCGCAAGCAAGGCGTATGACACTCTCACAAAATGCCGTACTACAAAGCGCTGTGACAAAGGCTGAAACTCACAGCAGAGGCAGACAACCAGCATTTGTTGGGAGACTTTCTGGCTGGACGTTCTGTGCCTTCGAATCCACCACTACAAGGCAAGAGTAACCGATCGCAGAGCAGGCTGGGCCAAGGCCAAACAGCACTTCCAGCATGCAAAGCATATGCCACTCGCGCAAAAAGCCGTACTACGAAAGTGAAGTGGCACGGGCGGCAACGCCTTATGTGGAACCATATAGAGGCAGACAGCCCTTCTTTTGGGAAGCTGTGTGTGGTGCGTTGCCTTGCACTCGTAAACTCACCCCTAACTATGCGAAACGAGTAACCAATCGCAAACTAAGCGGTGCCACGCCCAAACAGCACTTTCCGCATGCAAAGCCTGTGCCGCCATGCAAGCCACTCTACCCCGGGGAGCCCGGGGAAGGCCTACAAGGAACCAAGACAAGGGAGCGGGGAAGGCCGGGCGACGCCTCTCGCGATCGGGGTCGGACCCACTGGTTCTTTATAAATAAATGCGATCTGTTATGGGAAGAACAAACTATCGAAGAATTGCCCAGGCCAACCTGGGCCAACCTCCGGCAATTCCTCCCGGCCAACCCCTCTGGCCAAACCTGGCTGATGAAGTCCCACCCCAGGGCGTGAGGGGGTTCGCGAGTTAGTTCTTCCAGCCCCTGTGTTCCACGTTGGGCAGGGGTTCACTCATCCCCCTCCCCCCTCCCCCATGGTTCTGGACGGGGGGAGTCGCGACCGATTAGAGCGTCCAAGATGGCCCGAGACGGCTTCAAGAGGGCCTCCCAGAGTGCAAGATGATCTCCAAGATAGATCAGGATAGCGCAGCATCGCTCAACATGGCTTCCAACCTGCTCCACGGAGGCCCAAGACCGCTCCAAGGCAGGTCCAAGCGGCCATGGGGTCTCATAAGGAGGCCAACATCCCACCAAAACCAATTTATAATTAAGTATGTAAGCCTTCTCGCCTTGTCACTTCGGATGGGCTTCTGATGCCTCAAAATATCTCCAAGATGGCCCAAGAGAGCACCAAGAGAGGCCCAATATGGCCCCACGACGGCCCCGAGAGCGCTCCGCGATTCTGGGAGGCTCAAGAAGGGCAGTGCAAATTAAGCCCCCCCACTATCTGATCGATGTCCTTCAAGATGGCCCCAAGAGTGCGTCGAAGGCCCCCAAGAGGCCCCCCACAAGGCCCCAACAGGCGCCCAAGAGGCCCGAAAGGCCCACAAGAGGCCCCGAAGAGGCCTTTTTTGTTGCTCCCTCAGAGGCCTCGCTGGGTCCCAGCAGAGACCCCCCACACCGCGTCGACGGCCCACGCCGTTCTACAAATAGAACACCCGCGCGCGGGCCTCTTCGCTGAACTGTCTCCAGCACAAGGGGAAGCGGCTTACCCGTCTTCGGGTGCAGTCCTCGAAGGAGCCGATCACGCCGCTTCCGCTTCGTATCAGCTCAAGATCCTGTCTTCAAGGCAGGAAGCCCCCAAGAGGACCCTAAAAACCTCCCAAGAGGCCCCCAGGACCCCGAAGACGCCCTAGGAGTTCCCCAAGAAACGCCCAAGGGTTTTTCCCCCAAGAGACTCCGAGAGGCATCCAAAGGCCTCTGGCCTTTCTGCTCGCCCTCCTCTTCCTCCTCCTCCCCCTCCTCCTCCTCCTCCTCATGCGCCTATTCCGCCTCCTTTTCCCTCCTCCCTCATCCATCCTCATCCCCCTTCAAACGATCACGGCTGCCCCCCTCTTTGCTCCTACACTTCCCTGATCACCTCAACTCGCCTGGGCATCGTCTCTGGATGGCAACTATCAACAGTCAATGTCGCAAACCTTTTAACGGGCCCGAGCACCCATCTTGATCAATCCGTGCGTTTCTTCTCTCGCGGCGGCATTCGCGACATCGTATGAACAATGGATCCATTAACGGAGGGAAAGCCGTACTACAGGTGTGTGTGTGTGTGTGTGTGTGTCGGTGCCTGATCGACCAGCACCGCTTGAAAACGAAGGCGCTGGAGGCACCATCGCACCGCATCTAGGTCATCTGGTAAAAAAGTGTATCCGACTGGCTGGCCGCTCGTTGTCACAAGCCGGCCACGTCACGAGGTGTTAGCCCAAGTACTTGACACAGCGAATTGCACTTGTGGGTCCGAAAGAATTTCGTCATCCCGTATTTGCCCATGTTGCCCATGCCGAACCGCTTGAACAATTCGTCAGTCCTTGCAATGCAGCGCGTGTGGACCTGCGCATCGGTGAAATGCAAGCCGACCCCTTGGATATCAACAACCATGGCGCGTCCATTGGTCTCTTCGTACGTGAAGTGGCAGAACGAAGCAGCAATCTTTCCTTCAGTTGTATCCCCGTTTTGCACGTTGCCATTGTTGTCATTGTACCTTACGTAATCGCCCGCCATATACGGTTCGGCGTACTCCATTTCCCTGCCGAATGCCACGAGAGACGGCACAGCATACTTGATCTGCCATTCCTGCTTGTCCACCTGGCTCAGGCGCCCGTTGAAGATATTTGCCAGGGTGATCGCGAACATCTGGCACCGGATGTCTTTCAGAACAGCTTGAGCATACGTCGTCTGCAACGCGTTCTGGATGAAATCCTGGGTGTCATCATTGAAGCATTTGATCACGTAATATCGGTCATGGAAGAAAGCGTAATGCGCCAGGCGCATCGAGCCCTCTGCGAAAGGTGAAGGAGCAAATGTGACCCTTGTCTTGATGGCAGGTCTGAATTCTGGAAAGTCCGCCATCGCGCTTCGCGGCAGTGAGTGTGAGTTAAATCTCCGTTGTGTTACATCACGTTGCCCCCTGCTGTGCGATTTGCCAGGCTCCCGAGACAGATGCCAGGATGCTCTTATCTCCACGATCAAATCTCAGCATTTGTTGCTGCACCCTTTCGACTGTGTGCAGTGGCGGATCTAGCGGACTGCTCGCGCCTGCGCCGACCCCTAAAAGACCCGCCGAAGACGATTACAACACAACCCAAGATCAGCCTGCCACCCAAGACCTCACCAACAGACTCCAAAATGCTCTCAACTTGCAGACCAGCCTGGAAGGGCTGTACGACGGCCTGCAGCCAGCCTCTGAACAGCCTGCAGCCCCCTCCAAACAAGTCCCAGCGGCCCAGGAAGCCTCGTGAAGGGTCCCAAGGTAGACCCAAGTCAGACCCAGAGCGCCCCAAGATGACCCCGAGACGGTCCAAGACCAGCCCATTGCAGCTTCAACACAATTTCAAACCAGCCCAGGACGCCCCATGATTCCACCAGGCCCCCGAAGCGGCTCCAATGCAACCAGATGGCCTAAATAAGCCCCAAGACGACCCCAGAAACCCAGTAGTCCCCGAGTGTACTCCCAAGAGGCACCCAGGAGACAGCGCAACCTCGCAATGCTACAACCATCTTGAGCTACAGCGCTGATGCACTGCTTCCCCAAGCGCGGCGGCTGATATGGGCAGCAGCGCTGCTGGATCAAAACCTGTATCAAGGATCTGCTCGATCGATGTCGGCGGCACGACATCGGCAACCAGTACGTCTGTCTCCGCTGTCCCCCACCTGTCAACATCTGCTGGGATGTCGGGTTTGGCCATCCTCTCCCGTCCTACCATCCCAGCCCACCAGAAGGCGGAATCCGCTGGGTGCGTCGAGGTGATACGAAGCATGATGCCGGTGCACACGATCGCATCGGTGACCACCTGGAGCTGCGTCGCGGGATCAACAAAATCGGGCTTGAATAGCCACTCAAGAGTGGTATTCGGGATGTTGGGATCCACGACAACGGCGCGGGCTCCAAGCGTTTCTGGTCGAACTTGCCACACCCTATCCTTACGAACGCGGCACTGCAGGACAACCTGCACGAACTTCCTGATCCTAGCGTTCCATAGGATCTTTCCATAACGCGGGTGCGATGAATATTCGATTGAAGGCGATACGTATACAGCCTTGGCTCCACCTCCACAAAAGCAACCATGATTTGCACGAAAACCTGTCTGCAATATCGACGCCACATTTTTACCATTTGTGCCGTGATAAGCGTAGCCCCAATCCTTAAACTTGGTCTCGAACGCATCATCATCACATACGCGGAGCGAGAATCGAACCCACCCTTTGGGACAGAAGTATGGCACACCGCCGCGATCACGACCGTCTGAAAGGGCGCCCTCCCAACAAGTATCTCCAGGGCCGTAGCACTTGTTCCACTTAGGATTGAGTTTGCTGGCGTCTAAATGAATTTGCCCACAGAGATTAGAGATCCTCTGGAATTCACCTGCAACAAAGGTTTGGTCTACACCCTCGCAGAGCGTTGTCCCGACAGCATTCTGAGCGGAAATGTCTATGATTGTCTCGAGCAAATCTGGTAAGACTTTCAAGGCATCTTGCATCAGTATGGCTGGCTGGCCCTTCAGCGGTATAACAAAATGCTGGTATTCGTGCGATTGTACTCTGGAGCCGTGCTGGCCACATAATTGCAATGAGCACGGGGGAAGACAGCGGAGCAAAGTGCAGAAGCAGAAACGCACAAATGCAGATCCCAACTGCCGAGAAGTAGATGCGCAAGGGTAGCGGGGTATGTATCCGCCGACCCCCCTGATCAGGTGTGTGAGACGTTTGGCTGCCCCCTTCCCCCTTTCCCCATCCGCGGGTGGGTGTCTAAAGTCCAGTTCGAGGGGGGTAGGAGGTGGCCGCGCTCCCAGGGCCTCCGGAGCGTCCAAATCTACCGTCCGTGGCCTCAAGGTGCCCAAGACGGCATTTAAACTGGCTGAGGCTGGGCTACAACACGCAGGGGAGACCTAAGCTCATGACGGCCCAAGAAGCTTCCAAGACGCCCCAAGGACCCCCCAAAGGGCCTCCAGAAGCAAAACTAGCCTCACACCCTTAGGAAGCTTACAGGTTTGGCAATTTCGCCTTCTTCACCTTTACAGCGTCCACGACGGTCCAAGAGGCCCCCGAGATCGCTCCAAGAAGCCCCCAAGAGGAACCCAAGAAAGTCCAAGAAAACCCCAATACTACCCAGAGGGTGCCCAAAAAGGCCAGGGCCCGAAGAGGGACCAAGAGGGCTCCAAGAGTGGCTCTACGGGGGAACTTCAAGGCCCCTGAGGAACCCTCCTCAGCAAGATGGCATCGAAGACCCTCGACATGAGCCCAAGAAGCCCCCAAGACCTCCCAAGGAGCCCCTCAGAGTGCCCCCCCCAAGAGGCCCCAAAGAGCCCTCAAAAAAAGTGTCCTAAGAGGCCCCCCGAGGCCTCCACGAGGCTTCAAATCCGCTGACCCCTTGGCGTCACGGCGTGTGAGATGCTCCCCCTCCCCAAACCCCTCCCCCAGGGGCCTGGTTCAGCCAGTTTGGAGGGGGGGGGGGGGGGCAAATCCATCATCCGCACACTTGGAGCCTCAGGAAGCCCCAAAACGGGCCAAAAAGGTTCCAAAGGTTCCCGGAACGGTCCAAGAGAGCTGCGAATCGACGAGAGATCGCCCCAAAACGCCGAAGATTGCCTCCACACGGCTCCATAAGACGATTGAAACCATATTACAAGGCGCCACATAGAGGCCCTCCAGAAGCAAAAATCGTCCGATTTCCGAGGGGAAACGTATATTTTCACCACATTCGCCCATTCAGCTTCCACGGGGCGCAAAGCGGCCCAAGAAGCCTCCAATATCGACCCTCGCCAGCCCAAGCGGCTCCCAAAAAGGTTCCGTCCGGGCGATCCACGAAGGCCCCAGAAACCATAGAAACGGCCCAGGAAAGCCGCAGGACGGTCCCTAGAAAGCTCCAAAACGGGGCAAGAGGGCCCCCAAAGGCTGTCTGGACGGCCCACGCGGGGGGCGATTCGGTCCAAACCGCCTAAGATCGCCGCCAAACGGCCCCATGGGTGTCCAAGACGTTTGAAAACGCGACCACGAGGAGCTCCAAGAAGGCGTCCAAAAGCAAAAACAGTCCCATTCCCTAGGTAAAACGTACATTTTCAGCGAATTCGCTTCTTGGGCTTCACGAGGCCCACAACGGCCCAATAAACCTCCAAGATCGACCTCTGTCACCCTAAGAGGCTCCCAAGAAGGCTCCGAGAAGGCTTCCGGGCGATCCACAAAGGCTCCAGAAACCATAGCAACGGCCCAGGAAAGCCGCAGGACGGTCCCAAAAGGGCTCCAAAACAGGCCAAGAGGGCTCCCAAAGGCTGTCCGGACGGCCCACGCGGGGGGCGGTTCGGTCCAAATCGCCCAAGAATGCATCCAGACAGCCCCATGGGCGTCCAAGACTTTTGCATATGCGACCAAGAGGCGCTCCAAGCAGGCCTCCTGAAGCAAAAACTGTCCCATTCCTGGAGAAAGGTACATTTTCAGCGAATTCGCTTCTTGGGCTTCCACGAGGCCAACAACGGCACAATAAACCTCCAAGATCGACCTCTGGCACCCCAAGAGACTCTCCAAAAGGCTCAACGACGGCCTCCGGGCGCCCCACGAAGGCCCCAGAGACCATAGCAGCGGCCTGGATGAACGGCAGGACGGTCCTAAGAGGGCTCCAGAACGTGTCTAGAGGGGCCTCACAGGCTGTCCGGACAGGCCACGCGGGGGACGATTGCTGCCGCCCCAAGGGGTCGGCGGTGTGGCGTAAGCCAATACATCAATTCTGCGGCAGACCCCACGAGACTTCTAAAAGGCCTCGTCGTCCTCCTCCTCCAAATCCTCGTCGTCCTTCTCCTCCTCCTCCTCCTCCTCCTCCTCCGCCTCCTCCTCCTCCACTGTCGGGCCCTGAGGCCCACGCCGAAAGGTCCGACTGCAATTCGTACACGAAACCGCCGTGCCCCGTTGACTGCTGGAACCTTCTGGGCGTCGGCAGAATGGCGTAAGCCTCTTGCCCCAAAACGCCAAATACCAGCTGATCCTCGATCATCGGTCTTCCTCCTCTGCATCCTCGTGCTCCTCCTCCTCCTCCTCCTCCAACTTCTCCTCCCTCCTTCTCCCTCCATGTGTCGCCGCGCCGTTGATTCTGAACGTGTCCATGTAGACAAAGCCGACACCGCGGCAAACTCGCGGCAAACTCCGCGTCCGAGGGCGGAGTTTGCTCTGATGGCCGAGGCGCCCTCCCCAAGACGGAAGGCCGCGTGTCGGAACGAAAGGCTCGGCGAAATGTTCATCCTCTCTCTCCCTCCCTCCCTTCCCCCCTCCCTCCCTTCTTACTCAATCCGCCTGCCGCCCTGGGCTCGTCGCTGGCCGACGCCTGCTCGGGCTCTCTGCCCTCGCCCCTCCCCCCGCCGCGGAGCTGAGGGGGCGGAGCCGCCTTTGTTGATCTTGCCGCGCCTGGCGCACGGGGTGGGCATGTGGCAGGGCCGGGGGGGGGGGGCTCGGATCGGGGGGGGGGCGACAGGGCAGGGCAGCAGAGGGCAGGGCAGAGAATCAGCCCGCGCTGCTGGCTCTCCTGGCGCCTCCTGGCGCTGGCAGGGGCCCGTGTCTCGAGGAATGGGCCCGGCGGCGGAGCGGAGACCAGGTGCATGCAGCAGACTTCGTCCCCCCCCCCCTTCCCTGTCCCACCTTTTCGTCTGGCCCGAAACTCCGAAACTCTTTGATTGTGTTCGCGGGAACGATTCATGGCCACTGCGCGTGCGCACGCGTAAGGGGCCATGAAGGCAAGCGGAAGCAGGTTGGGCCCAGGGTTAAGCTGGACCAAGCGAGACTGGGCCAGATTCAGCGGGATGGGGATGGAATAGGTCGGTTTCCGGCCGCCGATCTACCAGCGCCGATGCAAAAGCCGACGTCCGAAGAATTGCAATCGAGAGGGGGGCGGCGCGACACCGTTCATGACTTAGCGTGAATGAAGCGCGTCCTTCCCCCCCTCCTCCTCCTCCTCCTCCTCCTCCTCCTCCTTACCGCCCTCCGTCTCCGGCCCTCCTCCTCCTCCTCCTCCTCCTCCTCTTCCTCCTCTTCCTCTTCTGCTCCTCTTCTATCTCGTCGCTCTCT